AAGCAACTCGTCGAACTTCTATTGAATCTCACAACATGGATACTTCCAAGTTGGTTGTAACTATACCATCCGATTTACAACTCACCGACGATGAGAGATCAGTGCTTTCTAAGGGATTATCGTTTGTACCTCAACGCCCTAAGATTGATGATTTTCAGGCACTCAAAGACCTTGAACAATTCTATCGTAAGCTTAAACTGAAAGCAAATTTCCACAATCAACCTCTGACTTCTACTGACTCGGATGATGGATTCTCTAATCTTCGACGCAATCACTCTGAATGGACTCCTCCAACAGGAAGGTTCCCTGCACTTGATTTGTACATCAACAAATGCCGCCATGACATTAACAAGAATGTTCTCAAACAACGCTCCCGATCGGAATCAATATCTGTTGGTGAGAAGAAAGCTCTGTCTAATCTTCGAAACAACTCCGATTTGATCATCAAACCTGCCGATAAGGGTGGTGCTACTGTTGTCTGGCGCAAGGACTTGTACATATGTGAAGGTAATCGTCAACTTTCTGATAGGAACACTTACATTTCTGTACCATTCGATCCTACTCCTGATGACCAACGCCATGTTAAGTCTGTTATTAATTATATGATTGCTAACGAAGAATTACCTTCAAGTGCATCTGTTTTAATTAATCAACGCCCTAGTTGTTCTAAATTCTACATGTTACCGAAAATTCACAAAGATAACTCTCCTGGTCGTCCTATTGTCTCAACTTGCAACTGTCCTACAGTCATCATCAGTGAATACTTGGATAGCGTGCTCTCCCCTATCGTCAAGAAACTTCCTACCTACATTAATGATACTAACGATGCTATTCGCACATTCAAGGGATTTGAATTTACCGGCCGCCATAAGTACGTCTTCACTATGGATATTACTTCACTGTATACATCTATACCTATTGCTGATGGACTCACCGCTGTTCGACACTTCCTGGACCATGACAACCATACCTCTTGCTCCACCTCCACCATAATCCGACTTGCAGAACTCGTCCTGAAAACCACATCGTTTGAATTCAATGGTAACTTTTATCAGCAAATATCCGGTGT